CCAGTGGATAACCAGTTCCATGTGGGGCCAATGGGTATGTTACCCCCCCCCCTATTTAAACTTGAAGAAGGTATAGTCCCCTTCCTCCAAAAAACCTTGGGAGACTAGATAATCCTCTAGATGTAGGGGACATGCCTCTGTAGGTGCATTTTTTTTTTGTACTGGGGATTGAACTCAGGGGCATTTGACCCCTAAGCCACATCCCCAGCCCTATTTTGTATTTTATTTAGAGACAGGGTCTCACTGAGTTGCTTAGTGCCTCACCATTGCTGAGGCTGGCTTTGAACTCACGATTTTTTTGTCTCAGCTTTCCAAGCCGCTGGGATTATAAGCATTTGCCACTGCATTCAGCTCCAGGTCCACCTTTGGATTTTGCTTCTTTACATGGAGGAACTGCTGGTCCCTATTCAACTATTTTCATAATTGTAGCAAATATGTATTTGGCTTGCCATCTATTTTGTCTCTATTGACTTCCTGCTTCCAAAAGTTCTATCCACATTTGGGTTCTTGTTCCTTTTTTTTTTTAAATTTACTTTTTAGTTGTTGATAGACATTTTTTTCTTTCTTAATATATATATATATTTTTTTAGTTTTAGGTGGACACAACATCTTTATTTTGTTTTTATGTGGTGCTGAGAATCGAACCCAGTGCCTCACGCATGCTAGGTAAGCGCGCTACCACTTGAGCCACATTCCCAGTCCAGACATTTATTTTTTTAAATTTATATGTGGTGTTGAGAATCGAACCAGTGCTTCACACATGCCAGGCAAGTGTGCTACCTACTGCTGAGTCACAGCCCCAGCTCAACATTTTTTTTTTTTTAAATGGGCTCTTGTTACCTTAATGGGTCTTTTTCTCATCAGAAGAGGTACTGAAGGGGTAGTCTTAGCAGTGGTTTGGACCCCCTTTTGTTGGTATCAATCCTTCACTTTCCCCAGGATGACCACAATAATGGTTTCCTCATTAATAGGTGACCCACATAAGGAATTAAGATGGACATAAGGTCCCAAAAGATGACAATGGGGCATTCTGTGATATAAGGTCCTCATGCCAGCTATAAACTGTTCATCATTTGGCCCATGAGTATTCAAGTTAAACATGGCCCATCTCATCCCCAACACTCGCAGTGCCTGGACCAGGTATGCACATGATTACCATTTACTTATGGTCTCTGGGACATCCCCCACATTTGACCAAACAGTGAAGATAGCAGTCATTACCCAATCAAATAAAGAGTGGTATCCTTGTTCACCCCTGTGGCATTGACTTATGTAATCTCTGCTGCAAGGAGGGGTGAGTAATTATGGATGGTAATTTCTCCATTTCCAAGGCACTAAACATAATACTATCCCCTCCTAAATCCCAGAGGCATTAATAACCAAGTGGCCAAGGGTTTTCCTGGCGTCTGTCTAAATTGCTTTCCCAAGTCTGCCAACTCTGCTTGAATAAATGGTTGGTACATGGTGAACTTGGTTACCTGGGCCAGCTCTTCTGGCTGTTAACCCGAAGCCACCTGCTGTTATTGTTTTGTTTTCTGCATTACCAATGGTTGGATCCCCCTCTTCTTACTCCTTTAGCTCCACCAACACTATGGGGAAGGCTGAGGGTTATTTTTCCAAGGTACAGAGGTTCTCTTCTATTGATTGCATTATAGATTCCATGGTTTCTTTTTTATCCTGTAAGTCTTGCATCTTCTTGGTAACCTCCCATAGACTGTAAGGAACAACCATCCAATGGGCCCAGCAGTCAAACACACTACATTTTCCCATGCTCTCTCCCACCTGGTGTAAGACCTTTTTCAACCCTACGGGGGTACCATCAACCTCTGCCCATTCCTGTGGAGGGGCCCAGGTAGCCAGGATGTTGTAGGCTACTCAGAGACCAGGTCTATCAGCAGGAAACAGCACTTGTGTCAGCACTGGCTCAGCAGATCCTTATTCAAAGGCTGAACCTTTAGTGCAGGAGGGCATAGTCTTAGTCTTGTTAGTTTTCCTTTACATACTAGTTCTTTGTCTCCCATATAAGGTAATATACATTCCTACTTGGGCATTCTATTTCTATACTACAGAGTAGCAACAATGTTATAACTGAGTCCAGGAAGGCTCACATTGAATCTGATAGTTCTGACACAGGAAATCAGGGAGCTGAAACTCCAGACATCAGTTCTTGTGTTCTGATGAAAAGAAAATTTCAAGTCAGACACCAAAAGTCATGCAAGAGAACTTTATTATAGGTGAAAGTAAAGTAAAAGCAAAGTGAGACTTAAGCAGAAGGCACCAGCAAGAGAGAGAATGGGCCATCTCCAGAGAATGACAAAGGAGACAATGCCATCTCCATTTATCACTGGTTCATGTTTACCAGAACTGGGAACCACCTTGTGTATTCTTTGTCAATCGGGTGTTCAACTCCTCTATCATGTTGGACAGTGGAGTTTGGGGGCCTTAGTTGGTCCTCTCTGGAACTGTCATGGTGGCCATGCTAGTTAGGGGGGCCATGTTACTGTGGGTGCTGGGGTCAATAGCTGGTCAGACATTACCTTCATGAGCCTGCACTGAAGGAATCTTCCTTCCCAGACAATTTGAGACACTTATAGCTATAATTCCTAGTTTTACATCAACATCAATGGACCCTGTCAAGAGTTAGTCCCATCAGCCGGGAGTGGTGGCACAGGAGTTCAATCCTGGCACCAAAACAAAACACCCCAAGAGTTACTCCCATCAATTCTTTTCTCTTGACATGATTTCCAACTAGCTCCCTTGCTTCTGTTTATTTTATACAAATTAACTACCACCCTTTGCTTTCCTGCACCCACTGTCTGACAGGGTCACAGCATGGGGGATGCTGCAGCAGGGCCGCACCATCTGGAAACCTGAACCGTGGGGAATGTTAAGTGTTTTGTTTATGAGACTCATGATATGGATAATAGGGCATATGTCAATCAATAATAAAAGTATATACTGCCTGAGATTGCAGGAAAATTCCCAGAATGAGACTAGGATACAATTAAGACATGCCTCAGGTGTGTTTCAATATCTCTCAGGATACAAACAATAGTGTTATTCCTCAAGAAATTCACAGGGAACTGATTGCAAATCGAGGTTCCTGAGAAAAGCTTAACAACTTACACTAATCTCCCTGTTCTAAAGCCACAACCTGTGCAACACACATTTTCCCCACCAACAGACCCTCCTTTGCCTTACCCAGGAATTCATGATGCGAATGGGAAACACATAGTTAAAATTAATGGCAAATAGGTTGAGGTGCAGAGCCTGCCCTTTAGTTAAAGATTACAAAGACAGAAGAATTGGTGTACTTTGACAAAGGATCAAAGTAACTCTTTAAGAAAGCAGTTAAATAGATGATATGAAAAAAGGAAATTACCTTGGAAAGTAAAAATAGAATAATGTAAAATTAAGAGATATATTTTAGCGGCACTTCAGAGTAGTAGGCTTTTAAGTAATAGACTTTCACTATTTTAAGTGTGTTTTACTGGGACTTTAGATTAGAAGAAAGCTTACCAATAATCATAGATATGCTTTAAAGTTAAAGGTTAATGAAAAAAAATATAGGTATGCTTTAAAGTTAAAAGTTAATAATAGATCAGGAGACATGTAGTCTAGTTGCATAGCCTAGCACCTAGTGGTTGAGGTGAAAATGTAAAAGCTTAATTATGATTGGCAAAGGTTATAGAAAAATATTTTAAACAATGTACTCAATATCTTAGGTAATCAATATGTGTCATAAAAGATTGTAACTCTTGAAAATTATGTAAATCAAAGAAGTTTCGGGCTTTGAGGCTATCCATTAACTACCTGAAAAAATACCTGCAAAAGATATAAAAATAAAGGCCCCTCTAAGGGCAGCAGATCCTTCTGGAGGCTGCTCCTAACTTGCCAACCTATTGTCCTATCTCTTCTTTGGCCGATGCCACTCATTCTTCAGAACCCCTGGATCCCTGATGGGGCTGGACCCCGGCACTTTGTAAGTTGTTTAAAGACCCTAAAGTGATTTAAAGAACACTTGCGACCTTGCCTGCATTCCACCGCTCACTGCTAGTTACTACCTAACAGCTCCATGTTATCTTTTTCTTTGCTCTGAGAAAATCTTTACCACAAGGAGCTTCGGCCACAGAATACCACATGCTCGTGGCTGGCCACCCTTCTACACCTTCCTCCATAGGTGGAGCGGGTTCCATACCCGGCTGCTGCTAGTCCTGCCAACTAGGCTCAACTGTAGTGCAACCGCTCAACCCCAGGCAGGCTGACTGAAGATGTGCGTATGCCGAAGTCCAAAGGCCGAGCCACAGGGAGATCTGACATGCCTTTATTCGATGGGTGGGCAATCCACTGAGAGGAAAGCCCTGTTCAGTTTACAGACAGAATTACAACAAAGCCGGTGGCGGGTCAAACAAGCCACCCTGCGCTTGTATAAGAATGCGCATGCGCCGTTTTCCTGCCTTACAGGAGGCATCTCAACCATTTCTTCCTAGTTATCCGGGTGAGCGAGGCTGATCGACTCCATTTTCCTTACAAGGTGTAAAGTAGGAGAGAGGAAGAATGAATGTCTCTGGTGTCTGCCTTGCCAGCGGCCCACCTTCTCGGGTTTCCCGCGGGCGCTTTCGGGCGGGGCCTAGCTTCCGGAAATGCCGGCACTCAGTCCTTCCGGTTGCCGCTGGCGGTTGCTAAGCTACGCGCGCCCGCGCAGAAAGCGGTGGCAGGTGAACCCGGTTGCTGGGACTGCCGAGCTTCTTGCCTTGCGAGCGGTGGGCTTCCGCCTCACCCAGGCTCCTGCCGCGAACTTTGTCCTGCTTCCCTCCTCGACCTTTCAGGAGGCCCCTGACCAGGTGGCTCTGAACCTCTGCTCCGTTCTCAGGACCCACTCTCGACCCCTGACCTTACTTTTTCAACCGCTCCGAGACTCCTGCGCCGCGTCCCCTGTCCCCGTTTCTTTCAGTTGCCTGGGGAGTCCTGGTGGAGGATCTCCCCTATCAGGGAGACTGAAGCATGGGGCCCGCCTGGGTCCCGGTGCCTCCGGAAGAGGAGGCGGGAAGATATGCGGTCGCCCCTGACTGCTCAGGTGCGCCGCCCGGCCTCGGGTGGGAACGTCGCCTGGTTCTTGTTTGAGAGGCTGGGTTGGTTGGGGTTCCTGAAGTCGGTCCCAGTGGGAGCCGGAGAGGGGGAGGAGCGTGTGACCCGGCAGTAAGCACAGTGCTTTGACTTTTCCTGTTCTGGTTTTTAGCTTCTCCTGTGTAATCAGCTGCTCTTTTGGAAATTAGGCAGGGGTTGCGGCTGCATGCGATGCCACTGACTGGCTTTCAGCATACCATGCAGAAGTAACATGTTCCCGGCATTGGAAACCGAGCGAAAGCAAGAGGTCGGTACACGCCCCCTCCAACCCATCCCCGCAAAACTCCACAGAAATCCAACCCTAGATCAGAAGGTATATTCTGGTGATACCTTTGTCCAGCTGAAGATCTTGGTCCTCAAGGTAGAATAAGTAGCATGGATTTCACTTGGTTTGTTTACAAAGGCCCTCAAGTACACTGTCCTATGCAACAAGGCTTGTGAGCTTTCCGTGAGGAATTCAGTGTCATTTGAAAGGGCTTTCCTGACTTAGATGGCTTTTCCTTTCACAGACTCTTCCTGATCCCTATGAGGACTTTATGTACCGTCACCTCCAATACTATGGCTACTTTAAAGGTAATACGTTCCCATCCAACATCACCTTTCCTGGGTTCAGGAGGTGAATTGTTTCATTAATTGGAAGAGTTGTGCTTGGATAGACTAGTAAGTCGTTTTTCCAGTCCACTAGTGAAAAGTCCTCCCCCAATGATCTTCTATGATACCTCTATCAAGTGAGAGACTTGCTTTATACAAAGGTCTATTTTAAGCTTTCTCTTTCATTGGTGTGTTTGTCTATCCTTGCCACCAATTCCACCATCTCTTAATTACTATGTGAAGTTAAAATACTCCTGATATCTGGAAAGGCATGTTCTCCCACCTTGCCCCTTGTACTTACTTATTCTTCAGAAGTGTCTTGACAACCACAATTCTTCTTCTTCTTCTTCTTTCTTCCTCCTATCTTCTCCTCCTCCTCCTCCTTTTTTTTTTTTTTTTTAACTGAGGATTGAACCCAGGGACACTTAACCACTGAGCCACATCCCCAACTCTTTTTAATTTTGAGACAGGCTCTCACTAAGTTGTCCTTGAACTTGCAATCCTCCTGCCTCAGCCTTTCAAGTTGCTGGGATTACAGGTGTGCCCTACCATGCCTGGCTTGACTGTTTCATTTTCTAAGTGATTATTCATTTGTCAAACTGAATTTCTGGTTTACCAGATTCAGCACATAATGCCCTCAGGGCAAGTGTCTTCTGGCTTCAGTGCTTTGCTTCCATCATGTTAACCTGCCTTCACTTGGATTTGGCTCTCTTGGCAACTTTTGCAGCCACTGTTCTTTCTCCCTCCCAAGTCCTTTCTCAGTCCACTATACCATAATGCTTCTCTAGTCTCCTCACTCTCTCATTTCCTCTGTGGTAAATAGAGATAATCTTGCTTAATTCACATAAATTGGAATGTGAAAGCTCTTTTAAAAATGGAATAAATAAAGGCCCAAGGTAATAGGCAGCAATAATAGTAGTGGTGGTTTAGGTATTGACCTTGATGTTAGAGGTGATGAGCCAGCCTGCTAACAACTTTAATTAAACCATTTATTCTTAGCCCAGAAAGGCAGTTTACCAAACTCAGCTACACATCAGCATGTTCAGAAGAATAATCCTCACTACCTACTGAATGTCTCTTTTGGAGAAAGAAATGATTTGATACCAGATACTCTGCAAAAGGAGAAACTTCTGTGTGAGTAGTAATCAGTGTGGGTGATCCCCAGAATGTTTCTGCCTTGACAACTCCTCCAGAAATTCAGGAAAATGTGGCCTTATGTGGGGAGAGGCCAAGGAAGGGGCTTTGGCTCCTATTTCTGACCTCACTCAAAAATGTTCTCTAGATCTACTTTGGTTTACAGATTTAAATTAAAAAGCTGTATGTTGGGGCTGAGGTTGTGGCTCAGCGGTAGCTGTGAAAGGCCTTGTGTTTGATCCTCAGCACCACATAAAAATAAATAAATAAAATAAAGGTATTGTGTCCAACTACAACTAAAAAATAAATATTTTTTAAAAAATAAAATGCTGTATGTTCTAAATTTTCTTAAAATGTCAAAAATGTATTAAGATTCTTTTATCAAGAGAATATATTAATTTTTGCACACAGTTTTGGTGAGTGTGCTTATAAGGCTCTGTGCATAAGAGTAGAGGAAACCAATTCCAGCTAGCTTAAGTAAAAGCAATTTTTTAGGGGGTATTTTCATCTTAAATCTAAGGTCCAAAATGCAGTTGAATTTTTCTCTCAATATATATCCAGCCAGGGCTGGGGTTGTAGCTCAGTGGTAGAGCACTTGCCTAGCACATGTAAGGCACTGGGTTGATCCTCAGCACCACATAAAAATGAATTAATAAAACAAAGGTATTGTGTCCAACTACAACTTGTCTTCTTCATAAGCTACCTTGTTTTTCTTTCTTTCTTTTTTTTAAATATATTTTTTTTTAGTTGTCAACAGGCCTTTATTTTATTTATTTATATGTGGTGCCAAGAATCGAACCCAGTGCCTCACATATGCTACACAAGTACTCTGCCACTGAGCCACAATCCTAGCCCTTCATAAGCTCTCTTTCAACCGTACATATCAGTCCAAGCTGCCATCATTTTTCACTATTGAAACAGCCTCCAAATTGCCTCCTGGCTCCTCCTCATTCCATGCTGCACCCTCCCAATCCATCCATCCATCCATTTTTTTTTTGTGATGCTAGGGATTGAACTCAGGGTTTTGTGCATGTGAAGTAAGCACTCTACTAACTGAGCTATTTCCCCAGCCCTTCAGCAAGTTCTGAGAGTACTGTTTTGCTGGGATGAATGTAAAGTCTTTCCCATTAGGTAAAAAAAAAGGATCTCTTTGTGACTTTGATTTGTATTTCTTTCTTCTTCTTCTTTTTTTTTTTTTTTTTTGTGGTGCTGAGGATTGAACCCAGGGCCAGGGCGTTGTGCATGCAAGGCAAGCATTCTACCAACTGAGCTATGTCCCCAGCCCACTTTGATTTACATTTCTATAATTATGAGTGAAATCCAGCAGCTATTACCACTTTTTCATTGCCTTTTCTCCCCCATTAAATTATGATACAGTTAAGAAATGTAGCTGGCCAGGGTGGCTCATGCCTGTAATCCCAGTGGCTTGGGAAGCAGGGACAGGAGAATCATGAGTTCAGAGCCAACCTTAGCAACTCAAAGTGAGGCCCTAAGCAACTTAGTGAGACCCTGTCTAAAAAAAATATAAAGGACGACTGGGGATGTGGCTCAGTGGTTAAGTGTCCTTGGGATCAATCCCCAATACCAAAAAAAAAAAAGATAAAAAGAAAGAAACGTGGAAGCCCAACATTTGGGTGAGAAGGAATGAGGTGAGGGACAGTGGGCAAAAAAGAGAAGGACAAAGACCTTAGGACAAGTTGTGCCTTCTTTCTCTTTCTATGGCCTGTTTATCTTCAGCTTGCATATTCAGATAGAGGCTATAAGCAGAGATGTTTCATGTCCTTCCAGACCAGGAATTTCAGACTCTCTGGTGGGAATGTGTCTTCACCTCCTGCTCTCCCTGCCTAAGCCAGGCCTGGAATTCACATCTGATGTGAACTGAGAGGCCTTCAGACTGCAGTTTCTGCTTTCCTCTTCTTTTCTTTCTTTGTCTCTTTTCCTCCCCGGCCTTCCTGAAAGCTTTTTTACTCTCATTTTTCTCACCACCTCTCCCTACAAGCTCTTCTCTCTTCTGCTCCTTTCCATCCTCTTTATTTTCTAAGCCACTTTGAACTTTCAGATGAATACATCATGGGCCTGAAACTTAATTTATAGGTTGTTTCACTGTAATTAATAAAGTTTTATGCTAGTCGGTGAATTGAAAATTCTGTCATTCCAAACAAAATAAAATAATATGACATATTAAATATCCTTTTATTTGTGTAACCTACTGTTGAAATGTCTTGGACTTAATAATTAAAATTTTTTCTAACTTACTCTGAAGCTTTATATTAAAACATTTAAAGGATTATGCAGAATTTTAATATAACATTTTATAATTTCAAATCTATCATCCTGGATTAAGTCTCCTTCTTAAAGGATAAATATTATCATTAGCACTAGACATATATGCTAATATTTTAATATAGTGCTTAGAATTACTTAGCTGGTATAGATGAGCAATAAGGTTTCCAAAGAGAAAAAGAAAGTTGTTCATGCATTTCCTCTTCCCTTTGACAGATTCACTTATGTTGAGTTCACCACTTCTTAGGAGCAGACAGCTTCTTTTTGATGAGTTGGACCAAGTAAACCCACGTCTTCGAGAACCTCGAGAACTCTTTGCCTTTTTCTCTAGCAAAGGGACACTTCAGGCTCCAAGATGGCCAATAGAATGTGAGGTCATCAAAGAAAGCATTCATCATATTGGTAATATGATTTATGTGTGGTGGTCTTGCTGTTTTGCCTGACTTTATTTCAAGGCCTTAGAATTTAAAGTCCTATACGCTGAAGTATGAGACAGGACAGAGTCAACATCTATAACTTACCCTGAAATGGTTAAGCTCTGGGAAACTGATATATTTCACCATTAAAAACTTACATCAAGGGCTGGAGATGTAGCTCGTTTGGTAGAGTGCTTGCCCCTCTGGGTTTGATCCTCAGTACCACATAAAAATAAATGAAGATTTAAGAAAAAAAAAAGTTACATCAAATTGTAAACTAGAGTGGAATAGATATAATTGATGAAAGATATATACTCCAGAATAGTTTTTACTGTTTTTAAATATATTTTGAGTTTATTTGAGTTTTGGGGGGAATGATAGGGTCTTTTTATGATATTAGTAACCATAAAGATGATGTAAGCACAATCTTTTCTTTTTTTATATTTTTTTAGTTGTCAATGGACTTTTTTTTTATACCTTTGTTTTATTTGTTTATTTTTAATGTAGTGCTGAGGATCGAACTCAGGGCCTCGTACATGCTAGGCGAGCACTCTACCACTGAGCCACAAGCCCAACCCCATCAATGGACTTTTATTTGTGCATGGTGCTGAGAATCGAACCTAATGCATGCCACATGCTAGGCAAGCGCTCTACCACTGAGCTACAACCCCATACCAAGCACAGTCTTTTCTTGTGTGTGTGATACTGGGGATTGAACTCAGGGTCTCATGCATGCTAGTTAAATGTTCTACTACTGAACTCTACCCCCAACCCACAATCTTTTGCCTCTATTTTATGAAGCATTTACAGAAGTGGCTTGCGTGAAAAAGGAGACTTCTAACTACTAGAATATTTAATCTACCAAACAATAAATCTGTGCTTTAAACTTCTGGATAAATAATTGGTTGTTTCATATTTTCTCACTGTCTCCTTATAATATTCATTCGATTAATGCATGTTAGCATTCACCATATGCTAACCTAAGTGCTTGGTGCTAGAACTACAATGATGAGCAAGTGGAGGTACCGAGAGCTTATAGACTAGTGGGGACATTGAGCATTTACTAGGTAATTGTATGGAGTTATGTCCCTCTAGGGACACCTACCAGCCTGGAGATCACTTCAGGTTTCCAAAAGGAGTGCACATGAAAGCTGAAATCTGAAAGATGATTTAGAAGTGACCCTTTTAACTGGAGAGAGTTAGATAAAAGTAGTACATGTGGAAGAAACACAAAGAACATGGCATGTTTTAGGAACCATGGGGCACTGAGCATGAGAGACAAGAGATGAGAAGCTGAAAATACTTGCAGGGACCCACTCAGTATTCTCAACTAGGGATAGCACTGCTCTTGGGGTGTTTGGGAATGGAAGAGGGCATTTTGATTTGGTACAACGACTAAGAGAGCTAAAATCATCATGTACTCTGTAGTTTTTATATACAAGTTCAATTTGATCTGGCCAGACAATAGGATTTTGCTATTCCATATATAAAAAGCAAAAATGAGTGGGTACTAAACAAAGATAGAATTCCTAAGATTTTTTTTCCCCCAGTGCTGGATATTGAACCCAGAACTTAATGAATGGTAAGCACGTGTTCTACGACTAAGCCACATCCCCAGCCTTCATATGGGAATTTGGAACTTGACTGTAAGAAGTACAGAAAAAAAAAAAAAAACTGGGAAACTAGAATTTAATAATCACATTATTGCAGTGCTAACAATTCATATTTATTTATTTATTTATTTATTTTGGTACCAAGGATTGAACCCAGGTGCGCTTAACCATTTAGCAACAACCCCAGACCTTTTTATATTTTTATGTAGAGACAGGGTCTCTCTGAGTTGCTTAGAGCCTCACTAAGATGCTGAGGCTGGCTTTGAACTTGTAATCCTCTTGTCTCAGCCTCCTAAGATGCTGGGATTACAGGTGAAGCAATTCTTAAAAAAAAAAATCCTAGCAGCCAGGTTTGGTGGCACATGACTACAATCCCAGCAACGCAGGAGGCCAAGGCAGGAGGATCACAAGTTTAAGGCCAGCATCAGTGATCCTACTGAGGCAAGACTCCATCTCAAAATAAAAAGGACTAGGGATATGGCTCAGTGGTAAAGTGCTCTTAGGTTCAATCCCCAGTATCCACCCACCTCAATTTTTTTCCAAAGGAAATTTATTACCAAGTACCTTATAGTTAAACTGAATTGCCAAAGCCTCAAAGAAATTATCATCTGCTGGGTGCAGTGGTATATGCCTGCAATCCCAGTGACTAGAGACTGAACAAGAGAATTGCAAGTTCAAGGCCAGTGTGGGCAATTTAGCAAGACCCCTTCTCAAAATTTAAATTTTTCAAAAGGCTTGGGGATGAAGCTCAGTGATAAAACACCCCTTAGTCCAATCCTGAATGTACCTAACACACATACACACACACACACACACACACACACACACACACACACACACAAGAAAAAAAAGAAGAAGAAAGAAATTAGCATCATCTTTTACTGAGTTCTTTTTCTTTTCTTTTCTTTTTTTTTTTTATGTTTCTAGCTTTCATCCCATGTGAGAAATCTTTCTAATTCAGTGCTAATGTAAATGCTTTGTTTCTTCTGAAACAAATAATAGAGTTGTTCCTTTATAGTAATAAAAAGGATATAGCTGGCCCCATTTTCCTGATTTCAAGGAAGTACAGAGCTATTTTGAAGAGTTGTTGTAGCAACTGTATTGACCTTTCAGGCTTAAGTATTCTATTTAAAATTTATTATTTCATTGTATATGCTTTTTTGTGAAAAGTTTCCTCATATATTTTATGGAAAGAAGCAAGACATAATTAATTTACAGATAAGCTGGAAATTTGGGATAAGAATTTGGTTTGATTTGATCAAACTAGTCATTTGAATAATTGATATTTTTTATTAGTTCTGATAATACCTTGTATATTTCTTATTTTGTGCTTTTTAAAATGCCTTCTTTCAGAGTGGGTTCCACCTCAGCCAGAATATTTCTATCAACCTACAGGAAATGAAAAGGTACCAGAAATTGTAGGAGAGGAAAAAGGCACAGTTGTCTACCATTTAAATCCAGGTATTGAAAAGTGAATGATTAATCATGACAAAGTTATAATAAACTTATTTCCCATAATTGAAGTGATTTTAAAATCCTAGTTTACTAATGGATAAACTGTCTTTACCAGACCAATGTAAGTGGGAGCCCCAATAGTCATGACTCAGTTTTAAAATTTCAATAGTTTTTTTGAAATGATGGCACATTGTACATTTTTCTTAGTAGCTTGAAGTCCATTTTATAGTTTCTCTCTTATTCCCCCTGGAAATCAGACACTGAATTACATTATGGGGAGCTTGCCCTTCTTTTCTCTACTTCCTGAGTATACTTTAGTGAGTATTTTGTTGCTTTGTGTATGTGACTGTCACTTAAGATGTGGTTGCCTACATAAGTTGTAGGCTTCTAAGGACAGAATCCATGTCCTTCATAAAAATATGAAGAATATCTGCTGGGCGCAATGATGCAGGTCTGTAATCCCAGCAGCTGGGGAGTCTGAGGCAAGAAGATAGCGAGTTCAAAGCCAGCCTCTGCAACTTAGCAAGGTCCTAAGGCAACTCAGGAAGACCCTGTCTTAAAATAAAAAAGAAAAAGCTGAGAACTGGCCACAGTGGCTCACGCTTGTAATTCCAGCAGCTCTGGAGGCAGAGGCAGGAGGATCACCAGTTAAAAGCCAGCCTCAGCAATTTAAGGCCTAAGCAACTTAGTGAGACCCTGTCTTTAAATAAAAATATATAAAAGGGCTGGGGATGTGGCTCAGTGGTTAAGCATCCCTGGGTTTAATCCCCAGTACCAAAAAATAAAGAATGGCTGGGATGTAACTCAGTGGTATGGTGCTCCTGGATTCAATCCCCAGCACTGAAAGGAAAAAAAAAAAGAAAAAAAGGAGAAGATGGAAAAGGAAAGCAGAAGATTATAACCAACAACAAAAAAAATACCTTTTCTTTTCAAGAACACCTGTTAGATTTCCCAGGATAGACATAATCTAAGCTACAAAGCAGGTCTTAATACATTTTAAAAGAGTAAAATAATACAATATCCTATATTTTCTGACTACAACAAAATTAAGTTAGAAATCAACAACATAATAAAATCTGGGAAACCCACAAATATTTGGAAATTGAACTACGTTTTTTGGGGGGGGCATGCTGGGGATTGAATTTAGGGGCACTTAACCACTGAGCCACATCCCCAGTCTCATTTTGTATTTTATTTAGAGACAGTGTCTCACTGAGTTGCTTAGCACCTTGCTTTTGCTGAAGCTGGCTTTGAACTCACTATCCTCCTGTCTCAGCCTCCCGAGCCACTGGGATTAACAGGCATGTGCCACAGCGCCCAGCTGGAAATACATATTTCTAAATAATCTATGTGATAAAGGAATCACAAGATTCAGGTGCACTGTTGTAAACATGTGATCCCAGCAACTTGGGAGACTGAGGCCAGAAGATCACAAGTTCGAAGCCAGCCTCCGCAACTTAGTGAGACTCTAGGGATGTATCTCAGTGGTAAAGCACGCCAGTTTGTTTACCCATCTACTGTCCCCATCCCCGGTTGGTGGAGACCATGAGGACAGAAGTCCTCGTTCGTGGTTTGGCATGCTCATGGTGGTACTGGGGAGAGCAACATGGGCCTCATCCTCAAAACTCTGTGGTTGTGATTTCTTTTGTCTGTCTTAAACTCTGTGAGGACCCAGAGCAAAGACTGGCTTTTATTTCTCTCCTTTGGTTGGAACAGTTTTACCAAGTGGCATCTGACAAAACATTTAAAGACATACAACTGCCTGTTGCCTCTTGAGGCAAGGGATGGCAGATGGGGCAAGCAACAAACAGGCCCAAAAGCCTGGGGAGGAAGAGATGAGGAGGAAGATTTTTGGGAGAGATGAAGTTCTGGAAGTGTTACCACATAAGTCAAAGAATGTGATGTGCATAGGCTCAACCCATTCGAAAAAGACCTGAGAAGATCCTTGGACTTGCACCTCTGGTTGGGCTTTGGGCTTTGTGTGGGAAGGAGGTAAAGCCTGAGGTTACAGGCTGGGTTAGTATTGAGGAGTGTACTGCCTCAGAGCCAATCTGGAAAGACTAGGAAAGATTTATGATTTTAATTTTTTTTAAACTTGTTTGTTTGTTTACAGTACTATGGATTGAATCCAGGGGCACTCTACCCCACCTCCCATACCCTTCTTTTTTTTTTTTTTTTTTTTTTTGAGACAGGGTCTTGTTAAGTTTCTGAGGCTGACCTCAAACTTAAGATCCTACTGTTTCAGCCTCCTGAACTGCTGGGATTACAGGCATGTCCCACCACACACCTAGTTTTTCTGTGTTTTGTTTTTTAACTCTAGGTATTTAAGGATATCTCTGTCAGATCATGGCTGACCACTGATTGAATGAATCAAAGATTTAGTGACGAGCTGCGGTTGTGGCTCAGTGGTAGAGCACTCGCCTCTCACGTGTGAGACCCTGGGTTCGGATCCTCAACACCACATAAAAAATGAATAAAATAAGGATATTGTGCCTATGTATAACTAAAAAAAAATTAAAAAAAAAAGATTTAGTGACTACACATAGCAAGGAGTAACATCATTCTCAATGGTGAAAGACTAGAAGCGTTCCCTCTAGGATCAGGAAAAAGATGAAAATATGCCCAATTTACTACTTCTATTCAAAATTGTATTGGAAGTTCTAGAAACAATTAGATCAGCGGGAAAAAAAAAAAAAAAAAAAAAAAAACCTAAAAAATGGAAAGGCATTCCATGTTCACAGATTGGAAGATTTAAATTTGTTAAAATGGCAGTATTACTCAAACATCTACACATAAAAATCCTTATCAGAATTTCAATAACTTTAAAGAAAAATTTCCAATGGCCTCTTATGCAAAAATGGAAAAGGTGACCCTCAAATTCATATGGAATTGCAGGAGTCTGTATTAAAAAAGAAATGAAAAGTTGGAGGACTCACACTTCCTAATTTTGTAATATGCTACAAAACTGTATAGTAAAGGCACAGGATTAGCATATAGATCAATGAACTTGAATTGAGAGCCCAGAAATAAATCTATACATAAATGGTCAGTTGCTTTTCAATAAGGGAAAGAATAATCTCTTTAATTGTTGATTCTGAAACAATTGGATATGCACATGCAAAAGGATGAAGTTGGATCTCTCCTTCATACATGTAAAAAAATTAAAATGAATCTTATGACTTAAGAGGAAGTGCTAAAATTATAAATATTTTAAGAAAACAGTGTAAGGCTGAGAATGTAGCTTGGTAGTAGAGCAGTTGACTAGCACGCAGGAAGCCCTTGGGTTCAATTCCCAGTACTGCAAAAAGCAGATGTAAACTTCACCTTGGATTTGGCAACACATTCTAAATGTAACACCAAAGACATTCAGAGGGTTGGGGATGTAGCTCAGAGTGGTAAGAGTATTGACTAGCAGGGCAAGGCCCAGGGTTTGATCCCAAACACTGAAAAAAAGGGGCATGATTCATAAAATGAAAATTGATAAATTGAACTTTATCTAAATTAAGAACTTTTTACTATTTATTTATTTTTTAATATTTGTTTTTTAGTTTTAGGTGGACACAATATCTTTATTTATTTTTATGTGGTGCTGAGGATTGAACCCAGTGCCTCATGCATGCTAGATGAGCATTCTACCACTGAACCAAGACCCCAGCCCCAACTTTTCACTATTTAAAAGATATTACTAGGGCTGGGGTCGTGGCTCAAAGGTAGAGTGCTCACCTAACATGTGTGAGGCCCTGGGTTCAATCTTCAGTATCACATAAAAATAAATAAATAAAATAAAGGTATTGTATCCAACTACAACTAAAAAATAAATATTAAAAAAAAGATATTATTAAGCCCCCACTGGCTGCTCTGAAAAGCCATCTTGCATTGTTCCTGGGTCCAGCTCCCCACTCGCCACAACCACCTTCCCGGGCTGCGGACTCCGCAGCTTTATCGCCAGAGTCCCTGAACTAGTTTCCTTTTTAACCCACTGCATCGGATCACCAGCATGCCCCACCATGTCAGACGCGGCTGTGGACACCAAGGACTTAAAGGAGAAGGAAGTTGTGGAGGAGACAGAGAATGGAAGAGACGCCCCTGCTAATGGGGATGCTAATGAGGAAAAGGAGGAGCAGGAGGCTGACAATGAGGTAGATGAGGAAGAGGAAGACGGTGGGGAGGAAGAGGAGGAAGGTGATGGTGAGGAAGAGGATGGAGATGAAGATGAGGAGGCTGAGGCAGCTACGGGCAAAAGGGCAGCTGAAGATGAGAGGATGATGATGTTGATACCAAGAAGCAGAAGACCGAGGAGGATGACTAGACACCAAAAAGAAAAGTCAAACTAAAAATAAAAGGCCACCGTGACCTATTCACCCTCCACTTCCCATCTCAGAATCTAAACGTGGTCACCTTGGAGAGGCCCACGGGCCCGCCCACCGCGGGCAGTGCCACCCGCCCGCCCACCACGGGCAGTGCCACCCGCAGTGACACGCGCTCTTCACCACCCAACCAAAACCACAACGTGAGTTTGCAACAGGGGAGGAAAAAAAGAACCAAAACTTCCAAGGCCTTACTTTTTTTCTTAAAAGTACTTTTAAAAAGGAAAATTTGTATTTTTAATTTACATTTTATATTTTTGTACATATTGTTAGGGGTCAGCCATTTTTAATGATCTCGGATGACCAAACCAGCCTTTGGAGCGTTCTCTGTCCTACTTCTGACTTTACCTGTGGTGTGACCATGTTCATTATAATCTCAAAGGAGAAAAAAAAACCTTGCAAAAACAACAACAAAAAATTCTTATTCTGAGCATTCCAATAACTTTGTGTATTTACTTTAGCTGTACTATAAGTAGTTGGTTTGTATGAGATGGTTAAAAAGGCCAAAGATAAAAAGGTTTCTTTTCTTTTTTTCTTTTTTTTGTCTATGAAGTTGCTGTTTATTTATTTACTTATTTTTGGCCTGTGAAACAATGTTGCCCAACAATAAACCAGAATTTTATTTTGCTGAGTTGTTCTAACAAACAAAAAAAGATATCATTAAAAATGAAAGGCAGGGGCTAGGATTGTGGCTCAGCAGTAGAGCACTCGCCTCCCACCGGCGGGACCTGGGTTCCATCCTCAGCACCACATAAAAATAAAGGCATTGTATTGTGTCCATCTACATCTAAAAAATAAATTTAAAAAAAATGATAGGCAGGATGGACTAGGTTGTGGCTCAGTAGTAGAGCACTCACCTAGCATGTGTGAGGCCCTGGGTTTGATCTTCACCATAAATAAATGAAATAAAGGAATTGTGCCCACCTACAACTTAAAAAAAATGATAGGACAAAAATAGTTGCAAATCAACTTCTTTTGTTTCTTTTAGGGCACCAGGAATTGAACTCAGTGACAGTCTACCACTTAGCTATATTCCCCAACCCTTTTAATTTTTTATTTTGAGACAGAGCCTTGCTAAATTGCCCAGGCTGACTTCCAGCTTACAATCTTCCTACTCAATCTCCTGAGTAGTACCTGGAATTACAAGAGTATGACACCATGCTTGACATTAATTGTACCTTTTTTTTTTTTTTAAGCAAGCAAGCCACAGAGACTCAATTCTCCAAAGAGAAAGGGCCCCAGAACTGGGAATCTGCAGGGGAGTTTTGGCCTGTTCTATTTATGGTCTCTGGAATTTCTTCCTTTCCTTATCTCCTCTCCTTTCCATGGTCTCCTCACTATTATTGATTGGTGCCCCCTCTGTCCATGTGTCTGTTTTAGTTTTTCTTTTGGATTCCCACTTAGGAGCATAGGTACAGAAGTATCTGTCTGATTGGGTCCCCTCTTGTGTCCACGTCTCACTTCAGAGCATAAATATGGAAATGTCTGTCTGATTGGGCCCCAGCTTATGTCCATGAGTATTTTCATTAAGCAGAAAGTTGATCTCATCAGAAGACCCTCTTCATGCTCCTTTGTTCTGGCCATGCCCCCATCCTCCTCACTTGCCATCTTGCCCTGGCTGCCTAAGTCCTTCTATATCTCTCTCAATCCCCCATCTCAGAGGATACCCAGCTACTGTTGGGAGTTGGGGCAAAAACCACCCTAGCCATTTAAGGCTGACAAGAGGTATCATTGAAATAACTGGAATATTCTTCTGAGGAAGGTTTAGGACAAGTGGGAAGCAGCAGGCTGATCAAGGGGTCTATCCTAGTCTAGAGGGATGTCCACTGGGGACTCCATTTGTAGCACCATCTGAAGTTTAATTGTCTCTAAGTCAATGGTTTCTATCCAGGATGAGTCCCCAGTTGAAAATTTAAATATTATTGCTGTTAACCTAGGGTAGTGCTGACCAGGTAGAGGGGTTCAGTAAATATGTGCTGAATGAATGGATTCTGAGTGGAACCTGACTTAAAGATGTCTCTTTATCTACAGTGCCCACTGAAGGTTCCTATTTCACCAGTTCAAGAGTGGGAGGCAAACGAGGAATTATCAAGGAACTTGCTGTCACATTGGAAGGACCAGAAGATGATACTCTACTCTTTGAGTCAAGATTTGAGAGTGGGAATCTGCAAAAAGCTGTCCAAGTGTGAGTAACCAGGAATTTCCCAATAGAATGATGATTGAGAGCCTTAGAGGTATCTTCAGGAATGATTTCTGGAGTGAGGAATGTTTGCTAAAAGGGGTGATGAGAAATGGTTACAAGGGTGGAGAATTCTCGCTGGGACCTGCACAGGCGATGGAATGGAGGTTCCTTTTGGTGGAATGGGCTAGCTTTGAAATAAAAGCTAAGAAAGACAAAACAGCAAAAAAAGTACAGAACACGAAAATAATTTAAAAAAGCAGGCGTGGGTCAGACTAACTGATCTTTTCCACATTGAAAAGAGCAATGGAGCCTGTGCTTGCTTTATTTATATGGGGGAACATCAGAGGTTTTCCATGGAATGTTTATTGCCAAATAAGATAGGAGGTGGGCTGTCCAGTTTCCAACGGGTTACTCCCAATGCCAGAGTTATGAGAGAGGTCTTCCTAGTAGAGCAGAAATAGAGGTCACATGCATTGGGCAATCCATTAAATGGGAGGAGCCACAAACTAGTTTGCACTGCCAAACCTAAATCCCCCTGCCTCAATACCCAGTGAAGACCCTCAAGTAATTCATGGGTGGCTCCCTGTAGAGAATATAATAATTATGACTCCTGTTTTCCCCCCAAAATAAAGCATTTATCTAAATTGTTTCTTCTAAATCTGGTATGGTAGTGTACACTTGTAATCCCAGCTACTTAGGAAGCTGAGAAAGGAGGATTACAAGTTCAAAACCAACCTCAACAATTTAGCAAGACCCTGTCTCAAAAAATAAAAGGACTGGAGATGTAGCTCAATAATAAAGCACCCTTGGGCAAAATTCCCAGTACCCCCCACCAAAAGTCCTATAATCAGACCTCCCGGATACAGTAACTAGTTTTGTGTATATACCTTAATATTTGTGTGTGTATAATATACACAAAGTGTATATTTTTAAAAATAAAAATTGGATAATGGTGTAATGTTTTACAAATTGCTTTTTTTCCCATTTGATAAATTTTAGGTATTTTTCTAGGGGAGTATCACAGATATGCCTCCTTGGTTTTGTTTTTGTTCTTTTTTTTTTTTTTTTTTTAAGTGCTAAGGATGGAACCCAAGGCCTCACGTACTAGGCAAGTGCTCTATCACTGAGCTACAACTGCAGTCCTGCCTCCTTATTTTTAATAGTGCCAGCTGGGAGCTGTGACATGCACCTATATTCCCAGCTACTCAGGGGGCTGAAGCAGGAAGATCACTTGAGCCCAAGAGTTCAGAACTAGCCTGGACAACTAGTGAGAACTCATCCCAATATATAACTAGTGAACATTATCCTATTGTATGGATATTCCATACCTTGCTCTAAACTGGTATGAATTATGTTTATAGTTTTGCTTAGTCACTTAGCAGAATTAACACATTTACGCATTATCTTTTTAATTATGGTGGTTTAGGTGATGAATTCTAGAAATAAAATTGTGAGGTCAAAGGGTTTGAACACTAGTTTTTGCCAAATTGCCCTCCAATATGATTCTGTTTCTCATCTTCAATATATAAGAGTGCTTCTTTTCCAAAGCTGGGATGATGAGCAGATAAAGGGGGAAATTGCATCTTTTTTTTAACTTTGAACAAATTTTGGGGGGCTGGGGTTATGACTCAGTGGTAGAGCGCTCGCCTTGCATGTACAAGGCCCTGGGTTCGAACCTCAACACCACATAAAAATAAATAAATAAATAAAATAAAGTTATATAAAAAAAAATTTGTACTAGGCATTAAGGGCCTCCCATGTGTTAAAAATACACCGTACCACTGAACTAACCTCCAAACCACATCTTATTTTGATTTGCATTTCTTTTATTATCAATGTGTGTGAATATCTTTTTATTTTTTAATTTTATTTGCCATTTTTATTTCCTCTTTTTCAAGTTAGTCTTGCATCTTTTATACAAGGTGAATGCATTCCACAGGTGCCCCCTCATCTTGAAATAATTGATGGCTAGTGATAAAAATAACACCGAGGCTTATAGGTCTTCTCCAAAGTGTGAGCTCTAGGATAAACAGCTAGTAACCAAAAGCGGGCTCTGACTCCCCTACCTTTCAGTATGTTTCAGAGAAATGTACTGCAGTAGTTAGAAACTGCTAGTAGACACTCTAGAAAGCTATCAAGAAGCCAAAAGAGGGGCTGGGGATGTGGCTCAAGCCAAAAGAGGGGCTGGGGATGTGGCTCAAGCGGTAGCACCCTTGCCTGGCATGCCTGCGGCCCGAGTTTGATCCTCATCACCACATGCAGACAGGGATGTTGTGTCCACCGAAAACTAAAAAATAAATAAAATAAATATTGAAATTCTTTCTCTCTCTAAAAAAAAAAAAAGAAGAAAAAAGCCAAAAGAATTTTAAAAAATCCTGAGTAACAGTGAGTTTGAAATTCTTCCTTCTTCACACCAAACTTTCCTTCCCCAAGTTTCTGCTTGTCTAATTATGTGGGTTGGGGTTAGGCAAATTAGAAAATAAACATGATATAGAAGGTTTTTCTGTTGTAATACGATGTTTTCTCAAATTTATTTTTGAAGGGAGTGTGAGATTATAGAGATAATCTTCTGTTCTCTCCATTACAGAGACACCTACGAGTATGAACTCACCTTGCGAACTGACCTCTACACCAATAAACACACTCAGTGGTTTTATTTTCGAGTTCAAAACACCAGAAAAGATGTCACCTATCGCTTCACCATTGTCAACTTGCTGAAGCCTAAGAGCCTGTATACTGTAGGCATGAAACCACTCATGTACTCCCAATTGGATGCCAACATCTACAACATTGGTTGGAGGAGAGAAGGAAATGAAATCAAGTACTACAAGAATAACACAGACAATGGGCAGCAGTCTTTCTACTGTCTTACGTGGACCATTCAGTTTCCACATGACCAGGACACTTGCTTCTTTGCACACTTTTACCCATATACATACACTGATTTGCAGTGCTACCTCTTGTCAGTGGCAAAGAACCCCATCCAGTCTCAGTTCTGCAAGCTCCGAACTTTATGCAGGAGCTTAGCAGGAAATACTGTCTACTTGCTCACCATCACCAACCCATCCCCGACCCCTCATGAAGCTGCTGCAAAGAAAGCTGTGGTCTTGAGTGCCAGAGTGCACCCTGGGGAAAGTAATGCCTCCTGGATTATGAAAGGCTTTTTGGATTTCATCCTTAGCAACTCCCCAGATGCCCAGCTCCTTAGAGATATTTTTGTCTTCAAGGTAGTTCCCATGTTAAATCCAGATGGCGTGATTGTGGGGAATTATAGGTGTTCATTGGCTGGAAGGGACTTGAACAGGCATTATAAAACCATCCTGAAGGAGTCTTTTCCTTGCATCTGGCACACGAGGAACATGATCAAAAGGTGAGACCTTTTATCCGTTGGTCTTTCTGTGAGTGCTGAGCCTTTTGTCATATACTCTGTCTTATGGGGAATGAGGTCTCTTTTTAAAAAAAAAAATATTTAGGGTCTAGGGTTGTGGCTCAGTGGTAGAGCACTCGCTTAGCATGTGTGAGGCCCTGGGTTCAATCCTCAACACCATATAAAAATAAATAAATAAAATAAAGGTATTCTGTCAAACTACAACTAAAAAATAAATTAGAAAAATAAATAAGTGAAATAAAGGTATTGTGTCCTACTACAACTAAAAAATATTTTTAAAAATTTATTTTTTAGTTTTAGGTGGATACAATATCTTTATTTTACATTTATGTGGTTCTGAGGATTGAACCCAGTGCCTCATGCATGCTAGGTGAGCACTCTACCAGTGAGCCACAACCCCAACTCCTCTCTTTTGTTGTTCTGTCATTAGATATGGCTTTGGATGGTTTTTACCAGTCCCTTTGACGTCACATGGCTTTGTCAGATCTTTGGATGTAAACTAAATATGCAACACTTTGGCTAGAGTCTTTTCATTTAGAAGTCAAACAACTGAGTGGAAAAGATCAGAGGTCAGGGAAGTTGTGGGTCTTCATGATGAAACTTGTATATTAGGGGCTGGGGTTGCGGCTCAGCAGTAGAGTGCTCACCTAGCACATGTGAGGCCCTGGGTTCGATCCTTAGCACCACATAAAAATAAATTAATAAAAAATAGGTATTGTGCCCAACTACAACAAAAATAAAATATTAAAAAGAAACTTATAGTAACAATAGCGGCTAATAATTAGTGCTTATGTATGAAGTGACAGTATGTTAGTGCTTTACTTATATGATCCGTTTAATCTCCACATTAATGAGATCCTTTAGGATTAATATCCTGTCTTGTATATAATGAGGAAACTGAGGACCAGAAATGTTAAATGACCTGAACAAAATCATACAGCTAGTGAGTGACAGGGTGTATATTTGAACACAGTCTCTCTGGTTCCACAGTCCGAGTCCCTTATTACCATTTTATGTTACCTCTCATGAAGAATAAAAAATCAGTCAGCACTTTTCAGGCCTGTGTAAAAGCAGTCAAAGGTTAAAATGTAATAGTGCCCACCTTAAAGGAGTGAAAATGCAGCGGATAAGAATGTGCAAATGAAGCTGAGTGCAGTGGCACACTCCTACAATCCCAGTGACTAGGGAGTCCAAGGCAGAAGAATCACAAGTTCAAGGCCAGCCTCAGCAACTTAGTGAGGCCCTTAGCAACTTAGTGAGATGCTGTCTCAAAATAAAAATAAAAAGGACTAGGAATGTAGCTCAGTGGTCAATCCTAGTACAAAAAAAAAAAAGTAAATGCACACCTTCTAACCATACCTGTGTGAACAGGTGTGAGTAGTGTTGGGCTGGTAGAGTAACTAGGGGCATGTGTGTGGGAGTCAGCTTGGCCTGCGTTTGAGACATTGTTTCACTATTGATGGGATCTATGATCTTAGCCAGGTGATTTAACCTCAGTGAGCTTTAGCTTTCTCATCTGTAGAATGGTCATAGTAATACCTGCATTGAGTGGTTACTGTTAGGATTAAATGAGATGATCCATGTGATTTATTTAGCATAGTACAAGCACCTTGTAAATGTGTACGATTATTGTTATGACCCTCTTCATCCAATCATCATCATCATGGAGAAAGTGAGCATGTTTGGGAAGTTGGAATAAGTGTCCTGAGTGATCCAGAGACAAAGAAGGGCTTGTAGGAAACGGGTCCTAGAAAGTCGAAAGCAAAGGCAATCTGTGATTCCCTACAACTGCAGTCTCTCTCCCTTCCTCACGTTCTTCACAGTGGGCTTCTTTTAATAGGTTTTCTCCACTTATTGTCCACTTATCCAGGTCTACCCACTACTTTTCCATTATGAGTCCTTCTAGCAAGGGCATATATTATTTTTATTTTATTCTTTTTCCATAAGAGGAATTGAACCCAGAGTTGCTTTACCAATGAGATACATCCCCAACCCTTTTTATTTTATTTATTTAGTTAGTTATTTTGAGACAGAGTCTCGCTGAGTTTTTTTTTTAATATTTATTTTTTAGGTGTAGATGGACACAACACAATGCCTTTATTTTTATGTGGTGCTGAGGATCGAACCGGGTCCCGCCTGTGCTAGGCAAGCGCTCTACCGCTGAGCCACCATCTCAGCGCCTAGCTGAGTTGTTTAGAGCCTCACTAAGTTGCTGAGGCTGGCCTTGAACTTGGAATCCTCCTGCCTCAGCCTCCTGAGTTGCTGGGATTACAGGCATGTGCTACCACACCTGGCCTGAGAGCATGTTTTCAGCAATGGATGGGGATAGTGTCCATTGGAGGCCACTAGCAACTGAAATTTTCTGAGGAGGGAAGGTATCAACAGCCATACTCCTAAAAGAATCCAGATGATCCTGGATTGTTTGCATGCATTTGGAGGTCCCCTGAGTCCTTTGTTTGCCCTCTCACCAGACTTCTTGAAGAAAGAGAGGTTCTTTTATATTGTGATTTTCATGGTCACAGCCGTAAGAATAATATCTTCCTGTATGGCTGCAATAACAACGACCGGAAGTACTGGCTTCATGAGCGAGTCTTTCCTTTAATGTTAAGCAAAAATGCACCAGATAAGGTAAGCACATGAGGTAATTTTCTGTCCATTAGACTTAGGTACAAGGGCGCTTATTGCTTCCTAGAAGTAGCGTTTGGTAAATCCCAGCAAAATAGATTTAGGAATTGCTCTGTGTCCATCAGTCAATGGAGGAAAAAATGTGATATATCCACACAGGGGAATGTTATTTAGCAATAAAAAGATTAAGGTGCTGATACTCTAGGGTAAGGAAGAACCTTGAACACATTAAGCTAAGTGAAAGAAGCCAGACACAAGAAGCCACTTAACATATGATTCCATTCTATGCAGTGTTCAGAAGAGGCAAATTTAGAGACAGAAAGTGGTTCAGCAGGGCTGCTGGAGGAGGGTGGAATGGGGCATGACCGCCATTGAGTAGTGATTTTCTTTTGTGCATGTGTGTGTGTGCATGCAATGCTGGGGATTGAACTCAGGGCTTCGCTCTACTACTGAGCTACATCCTCAGCCCTTGAGTTTACCTTTGAGGTAATGAAAATGTTATAAACTTCAATTATAGTAATGGTTACACAACTCCATAAAACATTGAACTGTGCACATTAAATGAATGAATTTTATGATGTGTGAGTTATATCTTAATAAAAATGATTTTTTTTAGCTTTTGGTGCTGGCAACAACTCGGGGCCTCATTCATGCTAAGCTTATGCTGTACCACTAAGCTACACCCCCAGCCCAAGCTCAGTTTTTGAAATTTGCTCTTGATTATTCCACCTGGGCATTAGTTGAAACTCTTGTGGGCAAAGTTATCTATCACCTTTAATCCTGTGGTTGGTGAAGTAAGCCAGTATTCCCAGTTGTCCTAGGAACCCTAGTCCAGCAAAATGCACATTGGTGGAGGGGAAGAAGAAAGGGAGGAATGGGCAATTAAGACTGAAAACAAAAAAAATGCGCTCTCTAGCCTTTGGAGGATCACAGTCCATGTGCAGTGCTCTGAGTGGTCCTGCAGAGGAATTCTGTTCAGTTTTGTTCACCCTCACCTCCCTGACTGACATGACCACAGAACTCCTCCTCCCCCACCCCCTTAAGACTATTGACATCTCCCAGAATTAATGTTTTATTGAACATACTTTAGGAAATAATGTATATAGACAACCAAGGAAGCCATTCTTGTTTAAAAAATGAATTTTTGATGTTAATGAATATTTGTCAGTTTATTATTAACAGAGAATTTGGATTTCTCTTTAGTTTTCTTTTCATAGTTGTAATTTTAAGGTCCAAAAGTGCAAAGAAGGAACAGGAAGAGTAGTGATGTGGCGAATGGGAATCCTAAACAGCTATACCATGGAGTCTACCTTCAGTGGGTCTACCCTAGGTGAGCTCTCCTTTGTAGATCATGAGTCACCCACAGGGGGAAGCCACACACAGCACCTGGGGAGATGAAAGGCCTGGGATTGCTGGGGAGATAGTGATTTAGAGGATTTCCTTGTCTGGCCCTCTACTGAGTTTGAGTACTCTGCATGTGAATGCGCAATACAATATTTGAAAGTATTGTATTGTTTAGAAGCATATTGATCTAGAATCAGAGGTGGTATTTTTTAAAGTTATTCATAAATTAGATTTCCATTCAATCCTTAAGATATAATAAGAAATGTTTGTGGATTTTTCTCCAGGCAGTAAAAGAAACATTCACTTTACTATTGAGGACCTGAAGTCCCTGGGTTATCATGTCTGTGACACCCTTCTGGATTTTTGTGATCCTGATAAAACAAAGGTAAAAATGTTTTTTTCAAGAAACATGGTGCTTTTACTGTGATCAGTTTCAAAGTCAGTACAGTGGGATTACATGTGTTCTTTATTTTCATCTTAATATTTTTTGAAGCTTTTATATTTAAGGAAAATTTAAAAGCCCCAGCCTGCAGTGTTGTCAACAAATGGTAAGACCTCATCATCCTCTAGAGTTGGAGACTGTCCTTTGGCACCCCTTTCCCTCACTTCTGGCCTTGCCCATGGCAGCACCAGTTCTTACTTTCCTTTCTCCTATTTTAGAAAAAGAGCAACTTGGTACAGGTATTTCAGAAAATCAGTGTCCTTGCTCTTCTCCCAAAGTAATCCATCTTTTGTGCGTGGGTGGACTTTATCCTCTTCTTCCTCTCCCCTCAACTGTGGGTGTTCTCAAGCAGCCCCCTTCTAAAACACAAAGACTTTCTTTGGCCATGTTTCGCCAGTGGGTTATTTCTATCTCCCTAACTCATCTCTCATACCCCTTCTGAAATGTTGGCTTGGTGTGCACCATTCTGGATACAATTGTTTAATAAAAAATAAAAGGAAAATCTGGGGGTTAAGGGTGCAGCTCTGTGATGGAGTGCTACTTGCTTCTCATGCACAAGGCTTTGGGTTTAACCCCCAGCACTGTAAAAGAAAAGTAAAATTTGTCCACAGCATGGCCTATTTTAATCTCTCTCCTTTTTTTTTTTTTTTTTTTTTTTTGGTGCTGAGAATTGAACCCAGGGGTGCTCTAGCACTGAGCTAAATCAGCCCATTTTGTTTTTATTTTGAGATATAGTCTTGCTAAATTGCTGAGGCTGGCCTCAAACTTCCCATCCTCCTGCCTCAGTCTCCTGAGTTGCTGGGATTACAGGCATGCACCACTGTGCCTGGCTTTAACTTTTCTTTTTGATTGGTTTTTTTGTTTGTTTGCTTGCTATGCTGGAGATTGATTCTAGAGCCTCCACAAGTTAGGCAAGTGTACTTGGCTATGTCCCCAGCCAAGTCATCCTTACCATATGCCAAAATCTAAACAACTCCATTCAAACTTTTTCTTCTTTGCTGCTCAGAAAAAATGAAATAAGTCAGACCATTGCATTATTTAAGAAGTTGGCCATAGCCAGAGAAAAGAGGCTAAAGGAGTGCTTGTATTTTCTGCCCTAAAAATACTTCTATTTCTATAGCTTATGGAATTTATCTGTTAACCTGTCTTTAGTAGTAGAGGTTGCAATTTAACTCATCTTTTTCCCCCTTTCAGCATATACTCAGGAAGTATTTGATGAATAAATACATAGATGATCAAAAATAGTTCTTTTTTCACTGTCACAGTTTACTCAGTGTCTAGCAGAACTCAAGGAACTCTTACAACAGGAAATCCACAAGAAATTCAATGAACGTGGAGAAGAAGTGAATTTAGAAGGAAGTTGGAGTGACATCTCTTTGTCTGATATTGAGTCCAGGTAATAAATTTCAAAGAAAAATAAGTTTTATATATATATTTAGTTGATTTTGAGCTTCAATAATAACAGAGGAAATCATATCCTCAGTTCATGGCACACTTAAATACACTTTATTTCTTTGGCAGTTACAAACTGAGCACATGTCCATGCCAGCCTCTGTTCTGGGCCCTAGAAATAAACAGGGAGTTGAGCACACAGTTTATGGAGGGCGTTGGAGCAATCGTAAAGCCTTTGCTCTTGACTCCATGGGATATAGGAAGTCTTCAGAAGGTTTTGAGTAGAGGAGTGTCATGATCTGACTTAGGTTTTAGTTTCAACAGGAACACTGACTGCTCTGTGAAAAATGGACTGTGACGCTCTCTTGCAACAATATAGGTGAAAGGTGATGGTGGCTTAGACCAAGGCAGTAGTGTGGTTGAGGGAGAGGTGTGTGAATCGTGACTGTACTGAGATTCTAGATTGAAATTACAAACATTAGGATTTGCTCATGATTCCCCCCACCCAAGTTTGCAGTCACTTTAATTTGATGCTCTTAGGAGAGGGCAGAATGGCAGTAGTGAATAGGGAAGGTGGTGCTTCCAGAGCCACCCCTCTGGGGGCTAGTCAGTCCCATCCTCCAGTAGCTGAATATCATTGGGGCCAAAGCAACAATATTCTTCCTCCTCCAAGATTGGGAGGCTGTTGGCCTCTTGGTGTTTCACAAGCCTCTCAGTTTCCCAGCAGGCCCACTCTTGCAACCCATAGTCAGGCAGATAAGTCACAAAGGAACTGACAAAGACCAGGATGATAGAGAAGCCAGAGAAGATCACCTGAGTGTTCCAGAGACTCACAGCAGGACCTTTGTCATAAAACTATGGGAGTCTGGATTCTTCTCATAGAGGTTTTTGTCCTCAGGATCTGGGTCCTCCCGCCAGTGTGTGGTTATTTCTGGTGTCCTCTTTCTCACTGAAGCAGATGGGACAACCATAGCTCTGGAGGAGCTGGATTCCCAGCAAACGTGGACACTCAGTCTAACCTCCATGAAAGATAGTGCTTCTAACTAACCAACCACACACACACACATACACACACACACACACACTCTCACACACGTATTTCTTTTTCTTTTTGGTTGTGCTGAGGATTAAACCCAGCGTCTTGCACATGCTTGGCAAGCACTGTACCACTGAGCCATGCCGCCATGGTTTCCACCCTCCCTTTTACACTCTGCTACTGCCACACTGGCTTTCTCACTCTTCCTCAGGCTTGCCAGGCCCTCTCCAGCTTCAGAGACTGAACTAATAATTAATTTTTTTAATATTTATTTTTTAGTTTTAAATGGACTGAATATCTTTATTTTACATTTATGTGGTTCTGAGGATTAAACTCAGTGCCTCAAGCATGCTAGGCGAGTGCTCTACCACTGAGCCACAACCCCAGCCCCTGAACTAATAATTTATTATGCCTAATTCCCCGGATATCCACATGACTAATCCCTTCACCTCTTTCAGGTCTTCACTTAATGTTACCATTCTCAACGTGGCCCACATTCCTTACTCTCATCCTGCAACTTGCTACCCCTATTCCCACTTCCGTGCTCTACTTTTTTATATATATATAGCATTTATCACCTCCTGTCATTTATCATTTTAAAATCTTTATTGTGTCAGTTGTTTCTTGTCTTTCTCCCTAGTAGGCAGTGGAGATCTTTATTTTGTTCACATGTGTCTCATGTGCCTGGAATGAGGCCTGTTCTGTACCTAGCAGAGGGAGAGTTCAGTGAATATTTGTTGAATTAATTTAGGATGCAGGATCTCACTTCTACCCTATAGTATCCCCAGCTCTTTCAAGAAGCCCTCTGTGGGTGAGTATCTCACAGTGTGCAAGAATACCTTCTACTCCACCTTACCTGCCAGGGTGCCTTAGGCTGCCCCAGCTCCTTTAAAAGATTGCTGGGCTGAGGGCTGGGGTTGTGGCTCAGCATGCATTAGGTGCTGGGCTCAATCCTCCTTACCACATAAAAATAAAATAAAGATATTGTGTCCACCTATAACTAAACAATAAAAAATAAAGAAATAAAAGATTGCTAGGCTGGGTTTGGAGTTCTGCTGGAGTCTGCACTCTGGCCCATGGAGCACAGAGGAAAGGGCTGGCTTTCTATCGGTTCGTTCTATGTGGCACATTGAGATCTGGACCCTAAAGCAGGTTTGGCTGAGTCTCATAAATGTTTTCTTAGAAACCTTAAACCAGACCGTCAGCCAGGTAGGGTTCCCCATTAATCACATCACCCCTTCCACTCTTCCTCAGTCCTTTGCCAAACTCTCCAAACCCACTGCAACAACCCCTCTCCACTTTTAGCCTCAAAAACAAAATGTTCTTTGCATGTCAACACATGCATATAGAGCCCAGGGGAATCAGCTCAGAAAGAGCCAGACTCTCCACTCTTGTTGGCTCAGTAGGGAAACTGATGAAGTTAAGAAGTATTGAAAACAGCTCGGCTCAATGGTGCACACCTGTAATCCCACAGACTTGAGAGGCTGAGGCAAAAGGATCACAAATTTGAGGTCAGCTTCAGCAACTTAACAAGACCCAGTCTTAAAATAAGAACTAGAAAAGGGCTAGAGATATAAGTCAGTGGTATAGTGCCCCTGGGTTCAATCCCCAGGTTCAGAAAAAAGAAAAAAAAAATTATTGAAAACAATTTGCTGGCTTCTTTGGCAGGAAGCCAGATAACACAAGCCTCCAGAGGGCGCCACCTGTCCATTCTTATGACTGTGCAGACAGGCAGCCTGGGAGGGTACAAGCCCAGTTTGAGTTTACTGTCTATATGTGTACATACATGATTTTTGACGCTCTTTGGGATATACTATTTCGTTAAAATTTTCTATTATCTCCAAAAGGAACTTCAGATTATTAATAGAGCAAAGGCTTGACTGGATTGGAAAAGCCTCATGAGAACAGGGAATTAGAAAGTAGATCACAGAAGACAGGGCTTTCTTCCTGCTGTCTTGCCATAGGGCTCCTCAGGTGTATTGGGGGGTAGGGTGGGAGGAGGTGCTAAAAGAATGAAAGGCTGGGCAAAAGAATGATTTCAAATCTTGTCTTCCAATGAGGTCTGACTTTTGTCCCTAAGACACTTAATATTTGGAGCCTTTATCAGAGCTATCAGTTCTAACCAATCAAACCCCAGGAAAGGCAAAATATAATGTGACATTCAAGTAAAGGACATGATGAAGGAAGGAAGAATTGATTATCTGAGACCCCATTCATTCTAGCACCTGTAAAAGAGAGGAGGGGACAGTTTCTGGAGAAGACTTTAGTCTAGATATGTGTCTAAAACTTTTGAAGGGAGAATACTGCCCTGGAGCTGGGGGTCATCAGTGAAAGAGTGCCTGCTTAGCTGCACGAGGCCCTGGTTCTCTACCCAAGGGGGGAGAAAAAGTATTTCCTGGTCTGTGGTCAGTAAACTGTTAGATTTACTTTTCTATATATTCAACACATTTTTACAGAGTTCCTGGTAGGATCCTGACTTTCAAAACTAGTACCAGCTAGACAGGAATGAATGAGGAAAAGCCTCTGCTGTTCTCTGGGGCTGCACATTGAGAATCCTGTGGCCTCACACCCTCTGCAACTTTGCGCTTTGGACCAGTATCCCTTTGTCACATGGATTGTGAACTCCTTGGTCTAGTAGGGGCTCTGCTTCACTCCTCTGACTCCTCTGTGCTAAACATACTGCCTGGCATACAGCAGGTGTTCAGAAGGAATAAATGAATGTGTTTGTCAAGAAGATTTTATAACTGGTGCATAGACAATTCAGCAAATAGTGGACTAGACATCTAATCCCACGTGGCTGGTCTGGTAAATCTTAGACATCCTGCATATGTTAATAACAGCTATTTCCCTTTCTTCTTTCTCTCTGGAACTAGCACCAGTGGTTCTGACAGCTCCCTCTCAGATGGTCTCCCTGTTCACCTACTGAACATAGTAGATGAGGTAAGATTATGTTGAGTTTTATACCTAGGAACTAGCAATCTTTAAAAAAAATCATGCCATTCCTGCATAATTTCGCGAGTTTTCCAAAAGTCTTAATATCTACAGAAAATATAGCAATAGGGCTAGGGGTGTGGCTCAATGGCTTTGCCATACCTAACATGGGCAAAGCCCTGGGTTCCATCTCCTGAACTGCAAAAAAAAGAAAGAGCAATAGGGTTCTAACTGGGTCACCCTGCCCTAGAGTCTTTTGTTTTGTCCTTTATAACTTTTTTTAAAATATTTATTTTTTAGTTGTAGTTGATCACAATACCTTTATTTTATTTGTTTGTTTTTATGTGTTGCTGAGGATTGAACCCAGGGCCATGCATATACTAGGCCAGTGCTCTGTCACTGAGCCACAAACCCTGCCTTTATTATAATTAAAAAAAAATGGAGTTGTAGATGAAAAAAATGCCTTTGTTTATTTTTATGTGGTGCTAATGATCAAACCCAGTGCTTTACACGTGCTAGGCAATCACTCTGCCACTGAGCCCCAGCCCCCTTCATAATTTTTTATGCTTAATTATTAAAGCCACTTTTTGGTAACAATAAAACTGAATCTTTCCACCACACGTCTAATGATCCAGACCTGACATATTGCCATAGTCATCTGATTTTATCTTGTAAATAATAGATATTTGGTTATTGATATAAATGCCCCTTTGGCAGTATACCTGTAATAGTGGAATTCAGGTGTGTTAAGTAAAGAATAGCCTTTGGTAAGAAGATAACCATTTGCTTATTCTCCAAGCCAACAACATGAGGGCCACAACATTTTTGGGTTTTGAGTTTTTGTTGTTGTTTTATTTCTTTGGTACCCAAAATTGAACTGAGGGATGCTCTACCACCGAGATGAATCATGAGCCCTTTTTAATTTTTTAAAAATATATTTTTAGTTGTGGATGGACACAATAACTTTATTTTACTTATATTTATATTTTTATATGGTGCTGAGGATCAAACCCAGTGCCTCACACATGCTAGGCAAGCATTCTACCATGAGCTACTTAGGGTCTTGCTTAGTTGATGAAGCTAGCCTTAAACTTACAATCCTCCTGCCTCAGCCTCCTCTGAATTGCTGGGGATTACAGGCATGTGCCACTGCACTCAGCCCCCACATTTTATTTTGACCGTTGTGTGAAGAGTGCCATGTAAGGGTAAGCATAATTCTGGAACCCCCAGTGAGCAGTTTCTCTGTACTTTCTGGAACAGTTGAATCAAAAGATGATGTCTAAGAAGAAAAAAAAGAAGCCACTTCAAACTAGGAAACAGCGAAATGAGCTGCATCAGAAAAATAAGTTGATGCCAGAGTTCAAGTTAACAGAAGATGCCTCCGTAAGAAAGCCCCAATGTCTACTCTGCTGTCTGGTTCCTGATGTTCCACAGAGGGAGCAGGAAAAAATCTAAAGTTTACTATAATCCAGAAAGAGTAGGGTGTAGCAAGTGGGGGGACTTTGTATTTTGGGTCCTCTAACTATTTTGAGTAGATTTCAGCCATGGCCCACTGATCCTTTCCTACAGTCTGGTATAGCAAGTCTGGATTTTGACCAAGTCTAGATTTCCAGAGGAAAGAGGTGGTACTGGAAAAGAGGTGGCTAGAGCTAGTCCAGAGTGGCTGGGTAGCTGAGGGATTAGGCCTGGTCCAGGATAAGGACACTGGACAGCTCCTTCTCTATTCTGCTCCTAGATGCCACACCCACCTCCAACCCTCTGCTCTCCAAAAACAAAAATGCTTTCAGAGGTGGGAGTTTTGTTATTGTGTGCATTGGGTCAATTATCAATGAATTGATTGAAAAATATTCTCTTTTCACTTAATTTTTCTAGGACAGGGCAGAACTTGCTCCTACTCTGCAAAAGCAGTCTACCTTTTACAAAACTTTGGAGAATTTCAGATCTTCAGCAATGAAAAATGAAAAACTAAGCCTCAGTGAGGTAATATTTTTTGTTTGACTCTGTCACACAGATTCTCTTATGTCTCCAGTTAGCATGTCTCTCACAGGGTAAAGAATGCAATAGCCATTTCTGTTACCTGTACCTGTTAGTGCCACTGGAAGCAGGGAACATAAAATTTGGTGTGTGTGTGGTGGTAGGAGGACAACATTGACACTGCTTTGTTTGGACACTGCTGAATTCTGTGTGTGTGTTTGTGTGTGTGTGTGTGTGTGTGTGTGTATGTGTGTGTGTATTGCTGCGGATTGAACTCAGGGCTTTGTGCATGCAAGGCAAGCACTCCACCAACTGAGCTATATCCCCAGCCCCTGAATTCTAATATAAAATACTGGTGACTTGTGATTTCATACCAATAACATAAGAACAGGCTGTGAATTCACCATCTATCCACCCCACTTAACAGATTTCATTATGTGCATACTACACAACAGGCCCTTTACTGAATGCTGAGAATTCAACATTGAATAAAATACCAGGAGCCTTCAAGTCTGGGGGTGATATTAATAACGAATCAGGAATTTATATCAGTTGTATGCAGTGGCAAAAAACAGAAGAGAGGCACCCAATTTTTAGTACTTGAAAGTTTTATGACTATAAAATCCTTGGTTCTTTTATATATAAAAATAGGTTTTGGTACAATAGTAGCTAATTCTTAGTGGATATGGTGCAAAAGCCCTTGCATGGAATGCCACCCTATAGTTAACAGTGAGTGGTACAGTGAGATCTCATCACACTATACTGGGGAACCTCCACAGAGCATAGCCATTCCTGTTCAGTATTGAGGATGATTTGATGTCTAGTTTAATGGTGGCAAGAGCACAGGTTTTGGGTCTGTATTAAATTCCTCTTCCATCCCCACAATTTAATACAGGTTGAGCATCCATCATCTGAAATACTGTACAATCTGAAACTTTTTAAGGGTCAGCGTGACACCACAAGGGGAAATTCTGTATCAACAAAACTTGTTTCATGCAAAATTTCTAATATTTAAAAGTATTTCATAAAATTACCTTAGTAGGGGTATGTGTATAAGGTGCATATGAAACATAAAAGAACTTAATTTTTCTTTTTCTTTTTTTGGTGTCAGGAATTGAACCCAGGGGTGCTACATCCCTAGCCTTTTAAAATTTATTTAGAGACAGGGCTTAATAAGTTGCTTGAGACTTCTCTAACTTTCTGAGGCTGGTTTTGAATTTGCAATCCTCCTGCCTCAGCCTTCTGAGCCACTGGGATTACAGGTGTGCTCACCACTCCTGGCTTAACTTCATTTTTAGATTTGGGTCACCTCCCCTAAGATATCTGTCGCATTATGTATATGCATATATTCCAAAATCGGAAAAAAAAAATCTTAAATCTGAAACACTTCTGGTCCCAAGCATTTATTTTTTTCTGTTTTTGGATTGAACTAACAGGCACTCGACCACTGAGCCACATCCCCAGCCCTATTTTGTATTTTATTTAGAAACAGGGTCTCACTGAGGTGCTTAGTGCCTCGCTTTTGCTGAGGTTGGCTTTGAACTCGTAATCCTCCTGCCTCAGCCTCTTGAGCCAACTGGGATTACAGGCGTGTGCCACTGTTCCTGGCTTCTTGGTTCCAAGCATTTCTGATAAGGAATGCTCAGTCTATATTCTGTGAGTTACATAACCAGCCAAGGACTCAGTTTTTGCATTTAAAATATTGGGATAATGATATCTTAATCATCACTTATTGTGAGCATTAGAAGTGAAGCTATAAAGTACCTGGCATGCGGTAGCCACCCAATAAACATTGGGTCCCCTTTCCTTCTTTTCATTGACTTGTTACTCATTTGTGTCTTGCCTTTCTTTTTGTGTTAGAATATCATCATGAGTAAACATGCATGAATAAAATGCACACAAGTAATATATATTCAATAAAATCACATTCACATGGAAAATTTAGTGAGGATATGTTCATTTATTTTAAACACAGTTAAATGGAGGAGAGAGAAGCACCTCCATGGACTCCAAAATGACACTGATTCTACGTAAGAATAAAGAGAAAATGCAGGTACTTCACATAATATATATGTGCATATACATATATATGTATATTCACATACTGTGTGTGTGTGTGTGCGCGCGCGTGTATAAATTGCTGGCATATATATGGTGCATATATATATATATATATATATATATATATGTACATACATACATATATGTGTACATATACCAGCAATTAAACGAGCAATTAATATTAGTTTTCAAATGTATTATGTGATTTGGAGGAATGATACTACTGACCTTCCCAGATTTGTTCTGCCCGGGTGAACATCTAAGGCAGTTTATGCCCTTAGGCTACACATCACGTGGCCACCCTGGGACTTAGTCCACATGGTACTAAAGAACTGAGAAAGAGCACCCAAATCTGAAAGCATGCTAACAAGAATTTAATTTTATTTTAACAAACATTTGTTAGGCTGCTGTTGTTTTGTAATTGTATGGCAACATGTCAGTTTAGATAGCGATAGAGAATACATAATGTAGCAGTTCTCAGCCCAAGGAGATGTCAGCAACACATGGGATGTCACCATCAGTTGCGAGGTATACCTCACAGCCAGTGTTACCACTGGTCACTCAATCTGAGGTTTGTGAATGTCTTACTCCATTTCCGTTATTATAAGACCTGAGACTGTGTGATTTATAAATGAAAGAAGTTTGTTTAGCTCACAGTTCTGAAGGCCAGAAGTCCAAGATTGGGTGCAATACCTCTGGCAAGTGCCTTGTGCTGTATCATGACATAACAGAAAAATGGAATGGCAAGTGGGACAAGCAAAAAATGCAAAGCACAGGAGGCAGCCTCACTTTATTACAACCTGCTTTTGTGGTAACCAGTCCAGTCTCATCAGAATTAACCTGGTCCCTTTCACAATCTCTCATGCACATTTACACGTGCATATTCTAAGAGGGAGGAGAAGGAAGAGGGCATCAGCTAGTAAGCTGTCCTTTCACATAGCCCTGGGTATTACCTGTGGGAAGGTGTGGCTCACACGAGTCTGACTCAAAGGTTGAGAATCACCAGGTTAACTTAGGCATATTAGACACAGAGTGGACAGTCCTCCAGGGTGACCCTGCTGTTTTCCAAAGTCTGTTGTTTGGGAATTCCTGGGTTGATGCTCTCATTTACCTATCAGGGTCTTCTGGAGAACCTGCTTCTATGTGTGGGGCTCCTAAAGAACTATAAAGACAAGATCCTCTATGAGTGACAGAAACTGAAGAGCAAAGAAAAGAGGTTTCAATGAAGTCAAATCAGAAAATTTTCCAAGTGCTATGATACATGCCTAAACTAAACAGGAGGCTTGCAGCTTTGAGGCCAGCCTGAACAACTTAGCAAGACCCTGTCCCAAAATAAAAAGTAAAAAGGGCTGGACGTAAAGAAACTGGTAAATGAGGAACTTGTCCTTTTTCCTCATTTAGCATTCATTTCACAAGGTCTGTAGGTAACTAAATCCATATTCCAAAAATGAAACATACTAGTTAGATTGTGACAAGTAACCATGGATTAAATTAAATACAATATACTGGATGAAAGCCATCCAAACTTTAATCTTTACTTAATTTGCTTAAAATTTCTAGTGGAATATTTCTCTAACGGGGATATGGGCATATCAGATAACCAATTGAATATGTGGGGCAGCCATCTTGATGGATCAAGTTTTTCTCTTTGTGTGATGTTTCTAGACAACTTATGAAATACAGTCCCTCTGCTTCTTGGGGCAATTCAAGTGTTGCTTCTGGACCTTGACTTGGGTATCTGAGAGACTAGGACAAATGCTTAATTTACCTCTGTCCTGTAACAATGTTGACCACTTGGGCATGGGGGAGAAAACACAAATACTCGCCACTAATTCCTAGTAAGGCCAACCTGAGTCCTAATTGTAACTGTAGAATTTGCAAAAGAAAGTGAGTTCAACTCTTCTATCTTGTTTGCACAGAGTAAGAGGCCAGGTTTTACACCATCATGCCCCCAAAGAGGAAGCACAGACTCCAGCCAAGAGTCAGCTCCAGGTATGAAGCCAAATTGGCCTAGGAACAGATATCCTGTCACAAAAAGAAGCACCACTGCTATGGCAGCATACCCATCCTTGCACGTAAACACATACCCGTAGATGTGCCTTGGCTGTGCCACACAGGCACTTCCTCAGAGTCTTTGGGTCCTATGCATTCTGTAAGGGGTTGTGGTATGTTGTGCTGTGCATTCATCACACCATGATGACCTTACACTTTGTACTTACTTACACCACATGCATGTCCTCAGATGCATCGTTTATGCATTCAGTTATTTTTTCCTAAGATTTTTATTGTGATGACATCTGTGCTCATGGAACTACCACACAGATAAACCTCATTTTTAACTAATAGATATGCTCTCTAAAATTAGCTACAAATCAATTTTAATAGATCAAATTCTGTTATAAACATGTTTGGGGAGTGTGCTATGTTAAAATAAGCCTTGTGTCAAAGCTTTCAAGTGATAAACAATCAGACTATATATATATCAGGTTTGCTCAAAGTGAGTTATTCCCACAGAAAGATAACAATTCATGTTTTACTCAAAATTTAATATTGCATATATTATGTTCAATAAGGTTATGTAAATTTTTAACTCGATGATTAAAGTACTTTCTAACCACTTGTTTCCTTTGATTGGTTAACTGCATAATCTTATGTGAACAGATATCTTATTGTAGCAGTTTTTGTGCAATGGTCCCTCATGAACACCAAGCATAGTCTGCTGTTTTCAGCATGTTGTCTCAGCATGCTAGAGTCATATTAAAGAGGAGTCACTATAGCTTATAACAGGCTACCTCTAGTTTTGACTTTTCCTTTTACCTATCACTTTGGATTAAAAGTTTTCTGGCAGTGTGCAGTGGCACACACCTAGAATCCCACTGCCTCTGGAGGCTGAGGCAGGAGAATCTCAAGTTCAAAGCCAGCCTCAGTAACTTGAGAGACCCTGTCTCTAAATAAAATATAAAAAGGCTAGGGATGTTGCCCAGTGGTTAAGGGCCCCTGGGTTTGATCCCTTGTACCAAAAAAACAAGAATTATAAAATGCTGGAGACAAACTTTGTTTGAAAGTTGTTCAGAAATACTTGTTTTTGCTCCAAATAAATTTGGAAGAAATTTGTAAAAAGCATCCCAGTATGATGATATTATTTTTGGAATCAAATATCAGAACACATGATCAGTTGTTTTTATCACTGATCATGTGAGCTTTATGAAGCCAGGAATGATTGTGTCTGCTGGAGAGACTGAGACAGGAAAATCACTTGAATCCAAGAGTTCCAGACCAGCCTGGGCAATATAGACCCCCATCTCAAAAAAAAAAAAGTTTTGAGGCTAGGGATATAGCTCAGTTGGTAGAATGCTTGCCTTGCATGCACAAGGCCCTGGGTTCAATCCCCAGCAACACACACACACACACACACACACACGCACAGAAAGTGTTTTGAACACTAAACTTCCTAAATATGTGGCTTGCATGTGTGTTGAAGGGTTAAAAAGAAGATAATCCTATGAAACTCAGGAGAAGCATCACATCAAATAATTGCTAAAAGACTAGTATGCCTGAGCCCATGGGTTAAATTCCCAGCAACACACACACACACACACACACACACACGCACACACACACACATACATAATAATAACAACAACAATAGTAACTTCTAAAAGACCATTATAGTAAATTTCTAGCTCTGTTCAGCTCATTTGAAGTGGCATTTGTTCTAAAGGATTGATATTTGTTTGTTTGTTCTCAGAAGAGTGTGGCAAGTTTTCCTCCTCAGATGAGGAAGAAGTACCACATAGGAATTTTCATGCTATGGTATCTAGGAGCCAATGTGCCTGTCATTTCTCCTTAAGCTTTAGTAGGAGGCTAAAGGAGTGACTCTGGCTAGAAATTTTTGAATGTCACTTGGGCACAGTGGCATATACCTATAACCCCAGCATCTGAGGAGACTAAGGCAGGATGATTGCAAGTTCACGATCAGTCTCAACACTTTAGCAAGGCTCTTAGCAATTTAGCGAGACCCTGTCTCAAAATGTTAAGAAAAAAAGGATTGGAGATATAAGCTCAGTGGTAGACCACCCATGGATTCAATGCCCAGTACTAAACCCACACAAAAAATTTTGAACAGCAGCTGCGCGTGGTGGTCCACACCTGTAAGAGGTGGCTGAGGCAGAATTGCAAGTTCGAGGTCAGCCTCAGCAACTTAGTGAGGCCCTAAGCAATTTAGAGAAACCCTGTCTCAAAATAAAAATGTAAAAGGTCTGAGAATGTGACTCAGTAGTTAAATGCCCTGGCTTCAATCCTTGGTACCAAAAAAAAAAAAAAAAAAAAAAGGCTTTGATAGCATTCTAACAGGTGGGCCTGCACAGTGTAAATCCACCTCAGGATGCTGGAGAAACAGTTTGACGCATCTTCATCACACTGAGTATGAGCTAGGAGAAGGAAACTAGAGTAAAGCAGAAAATAAGCATTTTAATCAGGTCTTCAGATATATAAGGACAACTTATATTCAACAGTTTTTGATGAAGGTCAAGGGCATAGGGGAAGAACCATGAATATATTTGGTGCTTTGTTTTCTTTATAAACCAACTGTGTATTCACTAATAGAAGTAATTTCTTAAGATTCAAAATGGATTTCAGGTCAACACTTTTTTTAATATTTATTTTTTAGTTTTAGGTGGACACAATATTTTTATTTTACAATTATGTGGTACGAGGATCAAACCCAGTGCCTCGTGCAGGCTAGGCAAGCTCTGTACCACTGAGCCACAATCCCAGCCCTCAGGTCAACTTTTTGAACCATGTGGACTAATGGGTGTCATTTGACCATCTAGTGGCAGCACATCCTTTTTTTTTTTTTTTTTTTTTTTGGTGCCAAGTATTGAACTCAGGGAACCACTGAGCCACATCCTCGGTCCTTTTTTTCTATTTTATTTGGAGATAGAATCTCGCTAAGTTGCTTAGGGCCTCACTAAATTGCAGAGGCTGGCTTTGAACTCGTGATCCTCCTGCCTCAGCCTCCTGAGCTGCTGTGATTACAGTCATGCGCCAGACTGGCCCCTTTTCTATTTTGGGAGAAGTGACAACACCTCTTGAAAGTGCCATAAATATAAATAGGTAAGGCAATGACAGTAAGCATTACACTTAAGATGTTTTTGGTGAAACATTAACCATAGGAAAAGACATAGAGGCTATTTTGAGAACAAAAATTCTAGGTTTTTTTTTTCCCCCCATTTGTCATTAAGTGCAAGGGTTTTGGAGATCTGGAGATTTTCTGGATACCTAGCCACTCTGAAATGACCATCATCACTGGCTTTAGTTATATTGTCACCAAATTTGATCACAGCTATATTATTCTATTTTCTGTTGCCATAAATGAATACCATAGATTGGGTAATTTATGAAAAGGAAATGTATTATGGTTTGGGAGGTTGGGAAGTCCAAGGTCTAGTGACCACATTTGGTGAGGGTTGCCTTTTTATGTTTGTTTATTTATTTGTTTTATTCAGTGCTAGAGATCAAACCTAAAATCTGCATGTTCCAGGGAAACACTCTATGACTAAGCTACATCCCCAGCTCTGGTGAGGGCCTTGTTGCTGATGGGGACTTAGCAGAGTCCCAGAGTGGTGCAGGGCTTCGCATGGAAAGGTAGAGCAAGCACGCCAGAGAGAGCTTGCTTTTATAACAAAGCCACTCCCTTGATCCACCTCTCAGTGCCATTAATGCTGCTTCCCTGGGGACCCAATTTCTAATGCATGAGATTTGGTGCACACAGTTAAACCATAGAAGCAAGTATTGGCAAGAATACTCCACAAAATGCTCTGCTTTGCAGAAATAGAACTACAAACTTCTGTTTTTCCAAGCTGTTCTCAGACTAATTCTGGTTTCATTATGTAGAATAGCAGAGATGTTTCCAGGTCACAGAGATTTGGCACCTTCTGCATAAGATGACTTTGAAGCTACAGAGCCTACTCTGTCCTTTTTTTTTTTTTTAATTGTTTTGGTTGTAGATGGATGTAACACCTTTATTTTGTTTATTTTTATGTGGTGCTCTACCACTAAGCGACAACCCCAGCCCTCTACGCTGTTCTTTAAATTACAAAGACAAACTGTGCAACTTGGCGAGGGTTTGTTAAATTAAATTAACCAGTATCATTTATGTCCATTTCATAGCAGATTATTCTGGGGAGGGCAAGCTCACCTCTGTTGCCAAAGTCCAACATCTTTATCCCTTTTTCTTCACCCTCATACTGTGTGATCAACTAGTAAGAAACCCCGTATTTATTTCCCCTGTTGAATGGGTTCTACCTTGGCACTGTGCAGCTGAGTCATGTGCTCTGTGAAAAACAAGCTTCCTCATGAAAGCAGGTTCTGAGAGGCATTGTTTTAATGTGTATGTTTATAAAGCTCTAGTGACAAACTGCACACCACATGTCCAGAGTTTAATTAGGGTCAGAAGAAAGGAAAATCCCCTAAGAATACAGAAAGAAATATAGGTTAAGCATCCCTAATCCCAAAGTGTGAAATCTGAAATGCTCCCAAATCTGAAATTTTTGGAGCATTAGCATGATACCACAGGTAGAAAATTCTGTGCCTGACCTCATGTTATGGGTTGTGATCAAGTTTATTCAGTGTCCCCAAGGGGGAAGAGATCCTCTCAGCCCCTCTTGCTGCAATACACAAACTTGTGTGTATGTGTATGTGATGCTGGGGATTGAACCCAGGAGACTCATGCATGCTAGGCAAGCACTGCACCACTAAGCCACATCCCCAGCATAAAGTTTTGTTTCCTGTACATAATTATTAAAAATAGTGTAATGTCATGTGCAGTGGCATGCACTTGTAGTACCAGCTACTCAGGAGGCTGAGAACAGGAGCCACTTGAGCCCAGGAGTTTGAGATCCACCTGGACAATATAGTGAGACCCTGTTTAAAAAATAAAGAAAGAAGGGCTAGGGATGTAGCTCAGTAGCAATAAACTCTAAGCACAAGACCCCAGGTTCAATCCTTAGCACTGCCAAAAAGAAAGAAGAAAAAGAAAAATGGTGTATAAAAGTACCTTCTTGTTATATGCATAAGGTATATATGAGAATAAATGAACTTCATGTTTGGATTTGGTTTCCATCCCCAAGATACCTCCTTCTGTATATGTACATATACAAAATTCAAACAAATAAAGTCCAGAACACTTTGGCCCCAAACATTTCAGATAATCTGTAATGCTGCTTACAAATTCTGACTCCTTGCTGGC